ATGGGCAGTCAGTACATTGTCAACGCATGTGTAGTGTTAGACTACTACCTTAGGAGAGATGTTTGCTAAATCATAAAGACTGTTATTATTAACTGGACATTGATATGGACATGCATGCAATATACATTTTAATTGAATTTTAATTGCTTGTTCTTTTCCTGTAAAACAGATGATCACAAGTTCGCCTTACTCTCCGGTAAAGAGGAGCCAAATTTGTCATCTCTCAAGTCACCAAAGTAGATTCTTTACCTCCCTCAGTTTAATTCAGTAATCAGTTACATACTATTATTAAGCTTACATTAAAATATCATTTTGCATTTACATTTGTCTCCTAAGGAATGACACAATAAATTCATACATTATTGTACCTCAATTTAGTTCTACTGTAATGCATTTGCCAAGTACATAAAGGTAGTTGTTTTATTCCACATGTTTGTATATTCATTATACTGTAAATGTAGCAGATACATGCTGTAACTGATATGATATTCATTGTTGTCTGCTTCTACTAAACTTTTTTTTTTCCAATCAGGCGACCTAACTGCCCACCTGAAGATGAAACTTTTATTGTGGAGAATGACAAAAGAAAAAGAAAAAGGTCTAAATCAAAGAGTTTCTCAACAACTTTATTTCCAGTCAACACTCACTTTGCTTTGACTCCCAAAACCACATATCAAATAATAAAAATACAATTTGAGAAATTTACTGATCATAAAAAACTTTTTATTGATTGTTTAATACATAACATCAGTGTTGATCAAGATCATTCTCATGTTGGATTTTATAGGCTACTACACAACCTAACTAGTGTTCATTTACATTTTAGTGACTACAGTCAGCCTGAGGACTACAAAGGAGGGAACACCGTAAGTTAAATCTGTTGTACAATTATTGTTTAACTGTCAACATCAATAGTTATTATGCAGCTCAATTTTGTCTTTGAATTTTCTAGCAGTCCAGTTGTGAGGGGAACGAAAACAAGCCACATATCATCCTGTCATTCAAGCCAGAGCAAATGAGAGAGAAGAGGTTTTTGTATGAAACATTTACTCAAAATTCAGAAGATGAACACTCCACTGCAAAAATGCCTGATCAGCCATTTGGAGTGCGTACATCCTGGGAAGATTGTGCTGTTGAACAAATTAAAAACATTGCTTATGGGAGCATCGAAGACTTAAACAATGACATCAGTGTACCAATCAGAATAAGCAATTTTGTCCAATATGCCAATGTAATTGACATAGTTCACAAATTTTGGAGGAATCAGGAAAAGCAGGATGTCACCCTTTTAGTTGGTAGATTCTCAGTACGGTTGCAAGGAAGTGATCTGTACTGTTGTCCAGTCAAATAAGATGAGAAAAATCTTCATCTTCATTACAAAAATCTTTCTTATGCAACATTGAAACTATCGAAAAAAAAAATGCTAAAAACTTTTCTGAGACAATTTGGAACTATATCATTGGGGAACCATGACAAAGTTGAATCTTATGTACTGACACCTCAAGACGCCACTGCAGTATGTCCTGTTTTGTTCTCATAAGTTATTAGGTATCCTGACATGTTTTTCCACAACATTCTTCTGATGCATTATTATAAATCATGGAGCGAGTTTTGTGACTATCATCCCATGGTAACAGGAGGGTCATGGAAACATCAGAGCAATGAAGAAGTAGTGCCGGAAAAAGTTGTAAAGAGAAAACAAGAAAACCTTGTATTTTGTGCTAAGAAAATAATGAGCAGTGAGGGAAAAAGAAGCACTCTATTCCAAGTTACCTCCCCAGTTTGAAGAACCAGAACCTTGGAGAACACGTTCATGGACTTATGCGGATCGCAAAATGTGTTAATATAAATTGGGGGCTCTTTTTGAGAGAGGCTTTTGGGGTATGGGAGCTGAACACGCAGCGACCCCTAAAGTTTCAACCAAAGAGAGGCCTCCAAAACAAACAAAAAATGTCTTAATTATTTTTATTGTCTATCTATCTATCTAGATTTTATATACTATTTATGATTTTATATAATATTTATGTATTTATAATATATAGTTTTCTATTAAATATGTTAATAAATATGATTTATTGACTATTGTGTCTGTCTTTTTGTGGGTCGCCGTGATTTTGCCAAGTAAGACATGTTCCTGGATCAACATAACTGTCCAAAAATATAGACTTAACCCAATCCCTACCCCTAAACCTAACCCTACAGTGTGAAATGATAGCTCATTTACAAGGGTGTAGAAGCACCTAACCCTGATTGTAAGCCTAAAACAGATATTTCCTGAAAAGTTATCCCTAAATTCTGATTGGTTGATAGGAATGTTGTTCCAGGATCAACAAGGATGTTGATCCAGGAACATGTTGTACTTGGTGAAATCACGCTCACCCTTTTTGTGAGTGGTCATTAAAATGCACTACATGAAAGGGGTAATAACATTTTGATATGAAAAAATAACAAAAACAAGACTGCAATAACACTAGGAAATAAAATTAAACAGTCTGTATTATTGTCAGGAAGATGGACTGTCTGTGTTGTGTTGTGCTTCCCTTGACCTAGTTTTCCCATGTTTCATGCCCTAATTTGGTAGTTCCTGTTCCTGTTCCCATTGTGTCCCATTTGATTCAGCTGTGTCCCCTTAATTAGCTCGTTTAGTTTCTGAAGCCCTGTGAGAGAGAGTATAGGGTCCTATATGACAAAAAATTTGATTTATTG